CTGGGATTAAGGCTCCTCATATATGCATCATCAAGGGCCTTCTTGGCCTCTGTCAGCTTTGACCTTTCCCAAGGCAACTTTTTTACTGGGTACCCACTAAAGTACCTTTCCCCTTCCTCATCCTCATCCTCAGAAAAATCTGATTCTTCTGAGCGGGTGTAGGTGAGGCTTCCCACGAACAGTTCCATCATGGCCTTTGTTTCCTCTGACCAAGGCATGTTTCGCAAAGTAGCAAGTCTCTTCTGAATTTTCTAGGCAATCAAAGCAACAGCACAAAAGTTAGTTAATGTAATATCAAACTAGAGATACATAGAGGTAAATGGATTCATTATCTGATCTATGACTGTAATTGCTTAAAAAGGCATCTCTCTTAATGAGTGCATTGTATAGGTAGAATAAATCATCAGTCTTGCCCTCAAATGAAGTATCACACCCAAAAACAATGATGCAACCCCTACTAAACAACTCATATCTTTCAAGTTTGTAAGTCTTGATTTTGAGTCAACTCAAAAGTATTAACTCATCATGCACAGGATGATAAAATAAATTTTGTAATCTAACTGTATTCCTTTACACATAAGTAACAGCCAGTATGGAGAAAACAATTTGCATATATCAACAAAGTTGAAATGGTAAAAGTATGGAGAAAAGGCTGTGACCCCAAATATGCATCTTCACTGCCATTTAAAGGAATGAGTCATTGATTGTAGACCAGTACATGCATTTTGGTGTTTCAGCTTTGAACGTTTTAATGGAATTCTTGGTGCAATGCAATTAATGGAAGGTATGTGGAGATACAGTTAATGCGTAAACTTCTGGCCGGACGTTTCGTCTGGGATGTACAATTTCCAAGCGAATTCCAGGAATCTTTTTTGCCATTTTTTGCAAAAGAAAGTCATGATATGACTGAAAGCTTAGTTGTTAAGAATGCCACCAAACTATTTAACAGTGCCTATTGCTTGAAATTGGGGACTATCAGTGGAGTGACCTCTCACTTGTTAGTTTTCCCAACTCATTCAAACATTTTGTATTGGATCCAGATTAACTGAGGATACTTTTTGAATGCTACAAGACATTGTACTCCAGGAAGAAAATTGAACTTTCTTCAAGTTTGCCAGTGTTATACTTGGCACTGAAAAGTTTGGATTAAAGTTGGACCGTCGTAACTTGAGATCAGCTAGAATTATAGTGCTGATGGTGGTTGTATTGATACCTCTGCTCCTGGAAGACCAGGAATAGTCAACTTTTATTTAGTGCACCGTGTAAAGGTCAATGGAGAATACTGTCAGCATGCATTTGCAGTAGTGTGGTGGCACACAATTGATTGAATTCTTCCTTATTGGGTCTTGATGTCCTTTTAAGGTTGATGCTGAAAAAAATGTTTATCATAATTAACTTTTTAGTACTTAATGTACTTCAAATTTAATTTTGGTGCGAGGTAGATGTTAAGTGTCACCGCGGCCAAACGTTTTCCCTGTGAATAGCCCCATGAATTCAAACTATTCTTAAATATTAATTCTAGTCGCAGTGACTAGTCTTATGAAATTTTGATTGTCCCGTCATGTGAACTGTTTGCATACACGACCAAAAACAAAAGCATTCGGCGACCTTCTTGTAAACACTACATGGGACATCCCTGTGGCTGGTTGTTTTACTTCTATCTCACATCTGCCTGACAGAAGACAATTAATCATGATCATTCCCTTCTCCTATTCCTACTTAAACGATTTCTCTGTCTGAGAAGACATGACTTTGCCCGTTACATCAAGCACATCACTTCCCATTTAATTGTCTTCGGATGTAAAACATCCATTTTGGGATCTACTGATTAAGTTGGAAACGAATCACCTTACGTATGTACGTAATAGTTACAAACGTTTTATCTATCAAAAAATATATCTCGACATTTTCTCCTTTCCTTATTGACTAGAGCCGTTTTCGGGAACGGAAACTGTAGTTGTTCCACGTGTCCCTATGGCATTAGTCCTATCTCCATTTCTTGTATTTTTGGTGCTATTGTTAACTGTCACGCTGTAATTCGTGCGTTGCGCTTTTGTTAGCGAAGAAAATACAGTGTTGATCTCTCAAATAACTTACCAAACTTCTTACAGGTAACATTTCATGAAACGAATGCACTTTACTCTGAATGATATACTTTTCTTTCCTTTTTCGTAAATGCAACAAAGTATAGTGCTCGCCGGCGCAACTGCCAAACTCGATTAAAGTAGAAGTAGTAAGTATAAACTATAACTATACTAACTAGATCTATAAACAGGAGCAAATTTCTAAAAAGAAACTATAATAATAATAATAATAATAATACAACTCGTTTATATAAGACATATACGAAGGCTCTATGCGCTTTACAATGTAGTACACGGAAGTAAATAAAATGACTTATAAAAGCAATAACTTAGTCGCTAAAAACTTTGGCAAAAAGAAATGTCTTAAGTTTGCACTTAAACGTTTCCGAATTGTGACAACATGTTATGTCAATGGGCAGATGGTTCCAGCGTTCTGGAGCAGAGACAGCGAAAGCTCTCGCGCCGTAAGTCATCAAGTTGTAATTTGGACGAGATAATACGCGTTGTTCTTGTAGCTCAATTGGTCCTTTAGAATGAATGAGGAAAGGAGACAGTCCTTCATCAAGCAATCGAGCGAGAACCTAACGCGGTGCGTCAAAACCTGGAGTTAATAATACATCCTCTATACTGATGCATTTATCAATCAACACGGTTTAATGACCCCGAAAAGGAAACGAAAAAGACACAGTTTTGAAGTGTGTACACAGAACCTATTTAACCGTTTTCCCGGTGCTTTCCAATGCGATTGTTTAAGTAAGCGTTGCACTCCATGGTGGTTCATCTTGTTTACTCTTCGCCAACCAGCCAATTTTTGCCAAAAGACGTAACCGTTTTTTAAAGTGATGCGGTCTCGTCGATGAAAAGACGAACGGAATCAAATGGTTTTAAAAATGTTGCACGTCTGGAAACGTTTTCAAAACGAGCCCCTTTCAACAGTAGTCTCGATAGGCGCCATGTAAACGAAAGGCGTAATGTCACCGAACTCTATGTGAATAACACAGAATCAGAAGGTGCTACGACTTTTCAAGTATCAGCCAGTAGGTTTTGAAATTCACTTCTCAATGAATTTCAGAGTAGCTCTAGTTTAGAAATTTTAAAGAAGTCTTTATAAGTAGGTTTTGGAGTCCCATAAAGATGTTTATCACTTTACTTTAAAGATGTTTAGGCCATTCTATGTTATTCTCACATATTTTATATTAACTCTCAGATAACTCATATTTTAATTGTTTAATAACATAGTTTTAATTATATCATTATTTATACGTATTAGTGTTTATTTTTAATTTGTTTTGAAGGGTCACGAGTTTATCCATATTTTATACTGTCAAGTGCCACCCTCGAAAAATAAAGTTAATTATTATCATTATTATTATTATTATTATTATTTCTCAGAGGGTAGATTACGTGATTTATAAGCTCAGTTTCAAGACAAACAGAAATGTAAAGAAAATAAAAACGCATTTCTTATCCAAATATCCAAGCTAAGAAAGTAAAGAAAAAGACGGAAAACTCGATGAAACGGCGCGAACCTTAAACTTAGTTCACAAAAGAGGATGACAGTGATCAAGATGGTAGATTCACCATACAATACTCGCGATAAATTAATCTGCCTTTACATAGAAAAGTACATTTGCGACACGATTGAGTACATATAGGAAATGTCCTTACAGTAGTACATAAAGCTATGTAACGCACTACCTGTAACCCAACGACAGGCCTTTCGCTGCCATAAAGGTCTGAATCACTATCACTAAAAATGCATGGAACACGTGTACTGTTGGAGAGCGTTCGATCACAGCTGTTGACGAAGGATCAAAGTGGTCATCCAAGTCTTTGAAAGGTCTCAAACTACGACGCACAACAAATTTAACCTTCTCGAAAACCGGTCTCAAATTTTTCTATCCAAGAATGTCCGTGTCATTCACTGAATAACATTTTCCTTCATTCAATTCACCACGCCTAAATTTACCAACATTGACATAGTCGATGCGCCTACCCATCATTTATCGACATTCCTGACCTAGCAGTGTGCAGGAGGTTTGTCACCATGGACCTTGTTAAACGGCCTAGCTTCCCATAATTCTCCTACAATTCGGTAGTACTGGTCATTCGTTCGCATCACTAGAAATCGGGGACATTTCGAGCCCGTTACGAAATGTCAGCGGTATATCGTATTACAGACAATTCAATATGGCGGCGGTGGAAGTGAAGTGAACACGTAACTTTCTGTTTTCGTAAAACCCAACGAGAGAAAGGCCTGGTACCTTTCTATCCCAAAAAGCCAAAGGGGACGTCAAAACAAGGAAAATGGCGGCCAAATTGTACAGTTACTGGGACTTGTATCTTTCGTGTTCTTCCTTCCTAAAATTGAGGTATTTAAAAATGGCGTATTTGGCGTTTGAGCTCTGTGAAAATACGAAGAGTTTCCCGGCTCGAGGAGAATTTGTGGGTCAACATATTCGACCGTTTACGAGCGATTTAGTTGAGCAAACTTCTGCAGAATGCATATCGAACTACGCAGTTGCGAATCTTCTCAAGGTTGTTCCTACGACAAAAGAATTGTAACACCTAGTCGAAACAGATTTTAAGAGTTTGTATTGGAAAATGGAGTCAGAATTATGAGTTTACTCGTATACCTTGGGAAAAGGTAGGCTTGAATTTGAGTATTTCTTTTTCGTAGCGATGAATGCTTCAACCGATGCAGGCTCCATTTCCAAGTACACAGCGAAAGAATATCCCATTCTTAGACAGCTATTTTGGAAAAAAAATCTTTTCCCATACATTTTCTTATACTGTTTCGGCGCCATTTTGCTTGTAACACGAGAACCGCCTCCGCCATATTGTCTCAAATTTCTGGCAATGGACTCTTGTTGGGAAAACTCGGACTTCTTTTTTGTGAATAACAGAACTTCCTTCAACTTTTATGAACTGTTTTTTTTTTTCATCTCAGGAATTTAAACACCAATTACCGCCATAGTTCTAATAAAAGAGGAGACAACCTCTACCAATTCGGATTGCGTTTTTTATTTCACAGTTAAGCCCTACTTATCCTTTAATGAAAAACGATCAAATGAAATGTAACCCTTTAATGATATAAACCCTTAACACAACAACATTTTCATTTTAATCAGTTAGAACGACTTATTACATCCCATGCTTTTATTGTATTGTTGCATATCTTGATTGACCCTCTCTTCACAGCCTAAGAAAAGATTAGAAAAGATAGACGAAAATGAAAATTCGTTTTATCCTGCTAACCGGGATTGTCATGGTCAGTCTGTTGGTAAACCTGATCATTATAAAAACATCTCACTTTCGTGGCTAGGGTTATGGTGTTTTTCAATCTTATCTCAATCTTGCCATTTAATGTTACAAAATTCGCGACTTACCCTGTATTCTTCTCTTTTTCTTTTTGGACTTTAAATTGGTTTCAGAAGCTGCTAGTAATAACAGTATCACTTACTATGCAAAAGTGAATACCCTTAAAAATGTATGGATCTCCCTATTCATCCTTCACGCTTCTATAGTCTTTCTTTTTGCTGTTCTCGTTTCTCGTCATTGTTTTACTCTTAGGACGGAGAGTTATCAGAGAAGTGATTCTGTGCAAGAGAGTTACCTGGTGAAGACAAAGTTGGCGAGTTTCTTCCCAACACCAAGACCGTTGTAATCTACTTTACAATTGGATGAAGTTCCGTATTTTTTAAAATTGTGCACTTCTCCATCACTTGTTGTGAAACATCCTTTCATATTCTGTACGATAGATAGAATTGAAGATTAAAATTTGTTGGAAAACAAGATTATAATCTACCCTTATGGGTTTCCCTAAGAAAATATGTCTGCGCTGTTTTTAAAGCAATTACTATAACCCAAACATCAATACAAAGTTTCCTGCAGTTTTTATTTTGCTCGAGAAAAGCGACGCTTGAAACAGTGACCGAGTTTATTTGTAGACTTAATCGGATTACAAACGTACTTGCTCATAGAAAAGTACTACCAAGCGTTATCAGCATTTTTCTGTATCATCACTTGTTGTCTTTTGGTATCATCTAAAGTTATGATAACAATAAAGTTTTCTTGAAGCCGAATCTCACTGCAGCGATTATGCACATTTCAAAACCCACTCATGTTCAAGTCAATCTTAAAAGTTATTATCGAATCACTTGCTTTCCGTTTTGAAACAAAAGCGAAACCCGTAGTCAAGTGTACTGACTCAGGAACCTACACACGCCTTTAGTGATTCCTGATGAGTAATATCGAGTTGAAAGATTAAGATATGTTTAAGATATTGAAATGGAAATAAAATGAATGGGTCTTGGGCCATTTACGTAGTCTTATGAATGAGGTAAGGCTCAAAACTTTTGCACTCACTCGGATGCCAAATATCTTGTAACCTTTCTTCTCCGCTGCAACTTTACAAATATCGAATACCTCCTTAATCTTTCGTTTCTTTCTCTGGACGGTAGCAAATTTATATCCAAGTACCATTTTCCTTGCCCTGTTGTGCTCTTTATAACATCCTTCAGATTTCCACTCGACTGCTGAAAGGGAATTAATTTGCTAAAGTGTTAAGATTCCACTCTGGTGGATCAAACAAATCGATTAATGAAAAATTAATCCAGCTTACTAAAGAGTCCTAAACAGCAAATTTCTGCAAGAATCGAACAGTCACGGAAAACTGCTGTAAAAATGCAAAATCTCCAAATCGCATTCATTCGGGTGTTTCTGGTTCATAATTGGCTACTTACTGTTAGAACTCGAAGTTCACTCCGTAGTGTTCACTTTATGTTTAAGCAAAAATTTAAAGCACTGGCATGACAAGAGTTTTAATTCCTTTAACTATTGGAAGAACTGTTGTATTTATTTCAACACATTACTTTCTTCACAGTTTGCCCCTTGATAGCCATCCCTGCAGTTGCAAACATATCCTTCAAAGTGATATACACACAGCCTCAACTACTGAATCAGCTCCAGTGGTTGTACAAGTTCCACCATTTTAGATGGATATGATAAACAGGGGCTCAATGAGGGTGTAAAATATTATGGTTGGATAATCAGTAGTCCATAGCTGCAAAAAAGTGTTTTAAGCAATTACATTTGTTATGTCGGTACCTTTTTCACAACTTTTTCCACAATATCCTTCGGCACATTTACAGCTGTAAGAGTCATCTCCAGTTACTGTGCAGACTCCACCATTTTGACAAGGATTATTTGTACACGGGTTCACTAAAATTCAGAAGAGAAGCTTGGATTAGGTGGCCTGGTTAATTGATTTATTAGGATAAGTAGATACATTTTCCAACACCGACGCAAGTACCTTTAACCCGAAATACTTTTTCCAACTAGATAAGCCATACAAAGATTTTTTGGAATTACTTTTGACACATCAAAGCTTTTTCTTTGTGGGCAAAGAAACTTTTTTTGTGGCCTAGAGAAAACCATATACTTTGCTTCGAATTTATAGCCAATAATCAACTAAGTTAATTTGAAAAAATAGCATAGTGAACAAATCTTAACCCTAAAATTTCCAAAAGAGGTTTCGGCATCCCCATTTCCACTTTCATAGGTGGATATGTGTGAGTTTAAAAATCCATCACATGAACGTTTTTTTCGAGTCAACACAAGGAGGACGAGTAGCAGAGAGAATTAATTGCTGACTCTAAATCAGTTTTTATCCAACCTTTTAAGGAAGCATATTATGAAAATTGGTGCAGGCTTTTCTTTAGTCCCTTGGACCATATATATAGAAAAGGAAAAAATGAAAGCGTGCTATAGGAAAACTAGTGATATGATGACGGTTTGGCATTAAATGCTATTTGTTTCTCAAAAGTGGCACTTTTAGAAAAATCACCTAAAAACCACTTAAACTAACTTTATTGCGTAACTAAATTTATCAAATTTGTGGTTTTTATTGCTTACCGCAGTTAGCCCAATGTCCTTTGTAAATTTTGTCTAATGAACACCACAATCTGTTATGAGCGACTTTGGTGCAAGATTCGTACTTCTTCCCCCCATACACAAAAGGAAAAACACAGCAGCGACCATGCGGGTTGTCTGTCTTTTTGCCAGATGGACAAGGGAGTCCTGTAGAGGAGTCAAAAAAAACTGCGTGTCGTTCTCTTTAAAAGTAAAAAAGGTTTATCCAGCCATAGCTTAAGCCCTGATAAAATCGACTTACGTTTTTCGCATGTTTCTCCTTTAAACTCGTCAGTGCATGTACAAAAGAATGAATCAGGACCACTCATTGTGCATGTTCCACCATTCTTACATGGAAGTGATTTACATGGGCTCGCTAAGGGAATATGACATTATGGTCGGCAAATTAGAAGTCTATAACTGTAAAAAAGTGTTTGAAAACACTCATACACATCATATCTACACCTTTTTCACAACTGTTTCCAAAATACCCGTCGGTACATTTACAGCTGTAAGAGTCATCTCCAGTTACTGTGCAGACTCCTCCATTTTGACAAGGGTAGTTTGTACATGGGTTCACTAAGGTTCATAACAGAACTGTAAATTAAGTATCCTGGGTTATTCAGCAGTTAACATAACTGAATCTGTCTTCTAAATGGACAATTATCTTCGACTCCAAGTGCTTCTTTCGATCAAAAAAAAGAAACTACAAGTTTATGTAGGTTTGTTAGACAAATAAATAGGTGGATATAAGTGAGTTAACAAGATCTCCTAAATAAACATTTTTGTTCGAAAGGATAGCGAGTAGAAGGCAAAACTGATCGCGAATTACTAACCAATTACTTACTCATGCATCCAAGGCAACTATAAGAAACTTGGTTTGGGTATTTCTTTAATATCTTAGACGATGTGGCGAAGAAAACATATCACACCGCTGAAGGAATACTGAATGATATTGTGAGGGTTCCCCATTAAATGGTATTTTGTCTCAAAAGTGGCATTTTTAGCAGAATTCCCTTAAAAAGATAACGACCAAAACAAGCTATGTTTTGTAACCAAAGTTAACAAAATTGTGGTTTTTATTGCTTACCGCAGTTAGCCCAATGCCCTTTGTAAACTTTGTCTAATGAACACCACAGTCTGTGATGAGCGACTGTGGTGCAAGATTTGTACTTCTTCCCTCCATACACAAAAGGAAAAACACAGCAGCGGCCATGCGGATTGTCTGTCTTTTTTCCAGGTGGACAACGGAGCCCTGTAGAAGAACCGTAAGAATTGCGCGTCACTCTGTTTAAAAGCAAAGGTTTATCCAACCCCAGCTATTGCCCAGGGGCCGGTTGTTCAAAAGAGAATTAAGTTTAAACCCAGGGTTAAATCGGCCTAACTCTGGGTTAAATTTTAAGCGGAGGTTAGTTGCGTGATTCAACGGAAGGTTAACACTAACCTCGGGTTAAACGTTGGGTTAAATTTTACCCACCGTGCGAGCAGGGTTAAATTGTCAAACTCCGGTTAAACTCCCGGTTAGCTCAATTGGTTAGAGCGTCAGATTGTGTTGTGCGGGATGTCGAGGGTTCAAACCCCGGCCGGACCAATACTCGTGGTCTTAAAATAAGTGAGGATAATTTTCTACCTTTCTATAATCAAGAAATGCATAGATATTCTAAGTCTTCTCGGATAAGGACGAATAAAC